AATAGCTAATAACCCATAGGTACCTATTTTTCTCGACTCACCTATAGTAAAGTTGTAATTTGTCATCATATACCTATGATATATCATAACCCGCAGCTCACAAGTGTGTTGTGGGCTTGTGGCCTTGCAGCCGTGTAGATGACATTTATTTTAGCCATAAACCATTTAAACTTTAGAGGGAATATTGATATATAGCCTCACAACTAGTCACAAGTCGCAATATTACAATATCATTCGATATAAATTATTTTGTAATGTGTATACATGTGTAAGATATTAATTTGTATATGCAAGGTAGGTAGTTTGATACATAGATACCTATAATATATACCTATCATATTGCACAAGCGCATGCATTGCGTTAAAGATAGACTTATAAATAATAATTCTTTAAACCTGCGAAGGGCATTATATACTTATTACTTATTATTCATAATAAATACTATGTCAAAATAATTATTAATACTTGTATTGTTTCAAAAGATATAAAATATATAGATAATATAATAATATACCTATAATATATTACAAATTCTAGTCTATACTATATATTGTGTATCACACCATTGATAATAACATTGTTTTGTACTTTTGTGCATTACTTAAAATAATTGTAAACAATATTATTAATTAATAATTATTTATTATGTTATCGTTATTAGATCTTTAATTAAAATTAATAATAATAATTAATTTATTAATACTTTAATATATACTTATATAAACTTTAGTAATAATCTAATACAGGGAAGCTCAAACTGATCCGACCAATAGCTTATACTAATCTTCTCTCAGATATTTTAAACATAGCCATTAGTCAAATTCTGATCTCTCACATAGGAAGCAAAATGTCGAGAAATATGTTTTTAAAAAAATAAGTTCAAAATCAGGAATTACTCGACTCCTCGACGAAAGTGCCGATAAGACGGTGTATCTTATTCTGGCTTGGACGATAGTAATTGGTAACTTCGTCTCTTCTTTCCAAACTGAGGGGGAGTTTCCATTTTTGATGGAAGATTTATGGATATTAATCCTTAATTTATTTGTGAGTGGTACTGCATTTAAATAGTTTTGCTATGTGCCTAGATAGTATTATAATTTATGAGCTTTTAGGGTTGTAGTTAGGTTTATTTTCATGGATTTATGAAAAGAGTAGACAGCTTCATTCGCAATTAGGTCGGCTTTTTTAGTTTCCTGGTATTGGAGGGTACTATTCTCGAAATCGATAGACAAAAAGTCGTTTGCGACTAAACTCGATTGATTGTGTCGTAGTCGATTGCAAAACGCTATTATTCAAAGGCAAATCGACTATAAAATTATTCTTATTCGAGATTTTGTCGCTTATAATAAGCTATTGTCGCGTGAACCACAATGGTATTATACCTATTAAAGCCTAAAATTGATTTTATCAGAAAAATTCCCATCAAAATATGATCTATTGATAATAAATAATGATCCAAGTATAATCGATATTATCATAACTATAAAAACAATCCATTCGTTCTTTCGTCAGTGCCGTCCGTGGCAAAATATAAAGGTACCTATATTTTGTCATGGTCGCGTCGTCGATTTCATTGGATTTCTTTTAATTGTCTATAATATTATTAATCTAGTAGGTACCTAGGTATATATAATTTATTAAAGGTGTTGATCTCAGTACGACCATGATAGAAATTTAGTTATTTCTGTCATGAGTACGACAGTATATTAGAGTTTATATTCATAGGTAGATATTCAGTTATCTACCACAGCTTCGATTTGGCAGCTTTAAATATAAACTTTTTTAAAACTGTTTTAATTTTTGTCATGAGAATGTTGATTATTACATTTTGATAATAATGTATTTAGAAAATGCATAAATAATACTGTTTGTTTGATTAAAAGGATTGTTTTGTCTCTTGTCTAACTTTGTATAGGGCACTGGAGGATAACCAATAGATAAGCGTATGGCATTGTAAAAGGACTTTTTAATTTACTGAATTGTATTATTTCTTGTTTTTACAATTTTCATTAATTACCTACCTATATACTTGCAATAGCATTAACATTTTTTCAAATTCAAATCATTTTTCATTAATAATAATTCAATTGTATATTTTTCATATACCTATATTCAATTTTAATGGGTAATTACCTAATTTCAGTTTATTTTAGATGTTTACATAATTCATAAAAAGTTACAGGTGTTTATACTGTAATACTACGAGAAAAGAGTCACTACTATTACGTATAGATGTAGTAGGTATGTAAAAACTAAAATTTTACAATTTGCCTCCCCTGCTATGGATATGTCTGGACACGCCTATGATGCTTCCTCCTATTTGCGTCAATAGTTGTAACTTGTATAATGCATAATAATATTTAGGTCGAACGTCGAACGGAAAAGAGACTTAATCTTATTTCTATGTATATTATATTTTATTAGATAAGCGGTGTAGACGTATAGTGGTTCGTAAATCGATGCGCTTATATATGCAGTATTTATGTTGCTATATTGTTGTCTCTACTCGCCTAAATGTTATAAAATAATATTATAATAGGTTAATGCTGTTGATTATTTTCTAGCCGAATAGATATTATGTTTATTATTTTACGTATAGATCGGAGCAAACGCAGCAATTGAGCAATTTAAAACGGTCAAATTCGTAATTGACTTCATAATAGTAGGTATCAGGAACCTACTACAATATTACAACAATAATATAATACTCAGTATCATAACGACAAAGATGGTAGAGGCAGTGGTGCATTTTTTATATAATAATATTATATTATATGAAAGAGACGGCAATAAACTGTACACAAACGGTACCGCCGGTAGGGTTATTTATAAGTGCGAGTATGACCGCGCTATAATATAATATTATAACACTGCGAGCGACGAAAAAAAATTCTCCTTACACGCATATTATTATTATACGCATTGGTCGTCCGAGCGAAAACGGTGTTTCGTATTTGTATATTATTATTTTTATACACTCTCTCGAAATAATATACCGTCGGCACGCGCGCCAACCGACCGGTCGGCGTAGAGACCTCTCGCTCGCTCTGTATGTCGCTTGTGTGCCGTGTGCCAATGACACACACGGACTGCACGGCCAACGGTCATCCCTTTACCGCGACAACGATGCCAAAAGGCCTGCGGGACCTTAGTCAGTCTCTTGGTCGCGACTCGCCAACGACATCGAGACTACTTCAGAGGCCCTAGACCCGCTTGAATGCGCGAAGGGATAACCGGGGAAGGGGGGGGGGGCAAAAATTAAAGGTTTGAACTAGGTCTCAGCATAATATAAAATATTGCTTAATGCTTATTATAAATTATTTATTTATATTTATAATTATATTTTAAGAGAGCGTCGTCGTACCCTCACTTGTTGTATCCGTCATCTTACAACCTATAATGCATAACGCGTGGCAAATATTAAGTTCAGAATGATCCATTGTAATTTGTTTGTTTGTTTTTTTAATGCTAAAGTCAAATTAATCTATTCTCAAAATAATATAAAGTTAAGAATGTTATTAAGAGCTCCACGTATTTTAATTTCGAAGCAACTAACAACTTATGAGTATTTTAAAGCTTACAAAAAATAATGTATTATTTTAAAACGCTCATAACTATTTTAAAACTAAAATATCAAAAAACAATTCTAAGAGGGGGTCTTCAAGACAGGGGCGGACTGGCTCCTTCAGAGCAGCCCGGGAATTTTTTTAAAGCAGCTCATAAACCATTGTAACTTAATGTACTATTACAGCACGTTGCACGTCATCGCTTATGTTTAAAATACCACACATTTTCACAGTTGACTATTCAAAATATAAATAATAACAGCAGATACATAACAAATCTTAGAAATACATGGACATGATTATTTATTGGTACAACTATACAAGGAATTTTTTTTTCGTGTTGAACTAGAAGCCACCCATTGACGACATGATTAAGGTTAAAGGAATTAATAATAATTTATGGAGCATTTTGCTCCTTTAGGCTAAAAGACCACGACCTATAATAGTTTGGTGAGGCATATCACTAAAAATACTTTTTTTCTGAAGCCATTTAAATAAAACCAAAAAATAAAAGTTACTTATAATACATTGAATAATTATATTTCAATTTTGTGGCGTACAAACACTAAAATGCTATATAACCACAGATATGTCATAACTGTTTTTACTTTTTATAGTGGTCCAATTAAATAATATTGAAAATCTACTATTTAGTATTTAGTTCTCCAAAATTTTTTTAAAAACACTAAAAAATAAAAAAAATAAATTTTCTATATAGCACTTAAAAATTTTTCTATTTTTTATAGTGAAGAACCTCAATAAGTAATATAACTCAATAGTAATTTATCATGTTTATACAATTATAATTTATACTATAGTTCTAATTAATATTGTTCAAAAATAATTTGAATAATATAAATAACAAAAGTTAGAATTAAATTATTATTAATAATCTAAAAATGTTAAGTTCGGGTGCTATTGAGTCTTATCAACATTTTTATTCAAATATTATAAAAAAATATAAAATATGTGGTCTTACAAAAATGTAACAGTATTATGAATTAAGATAAATTAGATTTCAAAACATTATTCATGAAAATGTATACATTGTAGACAACAGTGTGATAAAAATAGCTATAATAGTGCATATACCCCTTAAACTAATCTTTTCTAACGATTTAACCAATTTTAATGATAAATGATAATTGTGTACAGATTATAATTTATAGGACTTATAACTTTACTATTATATTATATTATAAAAATTTGATTTGACTTACCTTTAAAAAGGTGAGATTAGGATCGTTGACGTTCAACGTGCTTCTTTCCAGTATAGTTAATGCAAAATACAAATTGACTAATATTACAATATCACAGACAACAGACAACAGACTCATGATGGACAAAAACGGTATATTTTAAAATAATATAACACCAATATAATATCGAATTACTGTATTTAAACAACATATATATTTTTAAAATGGACCAAAAACTCGTATAGTAATTTAAAAATAGTGACAAGTTACTTATCCAACCAAACTGCCCGAACTGCCAGTCCGGCCAGTCTGCCTCTGCTTAATGACGCCCCTAGACTGATCAAATCCATTTTTTGTTTTTTTTTCTCTCATCTTGCGGGAAATCGTTATGTGACCCCAAAATGCAGTATATAATATTTGAATAATACTTTTTCATTGAATACCGACACGTATAATAATTACGTACCGTAATGCGGGAGGTGTTTAAACGCGTGTCTGCCTTTATTGGTTCTCAGGACTAGAAAATGGGGTAAAATGTTATCGTTAAAAAATATGAATTTTATAATGTCACTTACTAACCTGTTAAAATGATACAATATTTTATAATGTTCTATAATAAACGTGAACGTGTGATGGTTTGCTCAAATAGACCATGTCTGAAGGCCTTGTCCAAATGCCTTTAAAAGTGAGGTCCTCAAGATATCCCGGACAACTAAAAATCGTTACTCTATTTACTAATTTTAAAAATACATCTTCCTAGAGATCATGCTATTCATGAGTTAATTATTTCTTATAATATATTTCCATTAATAAAGCTATAAGCCCTTTGCGGATGGACTAATCGCATCGGCACTGGGTCAACCACAACAACGTCCACCGTTCACCGCCCAACCGCAATGCTATATTGCTATACGAATACGAAACATTTTAACTTTTATCACATGAATGGCGAACACCTATCTATATTATATAACATCTAAGTATTAAATGATAGAACATTTTTAATCTATACTGCGTTGTATAGTCGACATTGTCGATATTGCGTAAGGGTGTAAGACTTAACATTATCAAATAACAACGCCCGTGCAACGATAAATCCATGTTCATCATGACAGTGTGCAGCGGCGTACTTGCCAGCAGACGATAGATGGATCATCCTCTTCCCACCACTTGAGGTCGAGGCTTGATATTTTTATTTGTAGGTACCGTCTATATTTTATTATTGTATAACTTTATAGTTTATTATAATATTATGTCTACAGCAATATAGCCAATATAGGTATGAATGAAATTGTCAGATTATCATTTTAAATAAAATAAAAAATGATTATAACAGCTAAATAAAAAAAAATTCAAAAAAGTTGATTAATGTTTGGCGTCGTGGAGCGACGGAGCGCCTCCGTTCCGTAGTAGCGAGTAGGAGCTATATTAAAAACTATAAATCATCCCCTCCACCCTTGGCCGTACTTCAGATGGACCTCAGCGTCGTCCACCAGGACGATCGAAACGATTATTATGGTCTGGGGATGTTTTCGGACAATCGATTTATCGTCCGCCGCTTCGTTGGCCCACGTATAACCACTCTCACACACACACACACACATTACGTTACATAATATATATAGTATAGCTAATACCTATACACTTCCTCCGTTTAATACAACTAGTGTCGTGGAGTAGCGAAATTGGGGCAACAGCTGATCGGATTTTATTCGCGTAGATTTGGCACGCAAGCGCCGGAGGGTTAGGGATCGCGCCTGCGTGTCCGCGCCTGATAACCCGTCCGGCCGGGAGGAACCAAGTAAATAGGGAAACGAATGGAAAAAATCGCTGTTAAGGCACAATCAATGATCGTCACATCTGACGTCTTCCAAACCGGCCGTCGAGCTGTGCTTTCCGTTTTCACGTCCACACCGTATTAACATAGTGCTGTTGGCCAGGTGCGGCGGTAATCGGTCGGCGTGCGAAACAATTTTAATAATAATATCATAACATAATCCGCCCGCCGAGTGCAATCTGACACCCGCGCGCGCGTGTCCGACGGCCAAAGCCGCCGCCGCACGTCTCGCGCTCCGATCGCGCAGTAACTAACGACGCGACGATACGGACGGACGGGTCGATCAATACCACCGGGCGCCTAGCGTCGCGTCGTACATCACAGTAACCGCGGTCGTCGTATTCCGTTGTTTTTCACCGTGTAACGTAGCGTACCGCCGCCCATCAACCCACTTCACCCTTGCATAGCAACTCCCCAACATCACTCAAAAGTCACGACGATATATAATAATAATAATAAAAATAATAATAATAATAATAATAATAATATTATCGATATTATATTCGTTCCGTCGCCGCCGAGGGTGTTCCGCCGGCCCACCACCGTATCTCTTCCGCGTCTTATCATGACGGCTGTTACGTCGGCGACGACGTTACGCAGCCGTACCGATACCGTCACTGTTGTCATTATTACCAACGACGTTGGTCGTACGTCGGTTGTGGCTGCCCAACGGCCGTCTCGCTGAAAGTGTCAACGTGCCGGTCGGACCCACAGACCGACAGCTGCCCGCTGTTCTCCTGTAAGTATTAATATTTTATGTAATGTAGTATAATATTTACCTATCCCGCCCTGTTCCGTCTTCGCCACCCGTCCTATCGACCATCAGGGTCCGTCGATCTATATGCCCACCGACGATCGCACGTTATTAATATTTATTATTTCGCCGACCGTGTCGCACGACCAAGATCTTAGCCCGATCTATAATACTATTGTACATGGTTTGTGTTTCAGAATGGTTCAACTAGTGTGTATACTGCTGGAAAAATTGTGTGCTGTGTAGTTAGGTTAATAGGCAGTTAAGCCCATTAGTAGTCTGCTGTGGGTAATGAGTAGTGATGTTGTATCCCATTTTACCCTTTTTCCGACCGTCGAGTAACACCCTGTCCCGCAGGTTTAGGTGCGAAAGAATTGGTATTGTTACCGCCATATACTATAAACAAACGACCAATATGTTTGTTTGCTGATTAAATGGAGTTATGATAGAATGTATTGTGCTCTTCCTGGAAGTTTTTAAATACCTATGTGTAGCATAGGTATATTATGTAGCTATTATGACACCAATTTGTTGTTTCTAAAGAATTTATAGATGCAATTTCTTAATCGTTTTTAAAAGTTCAAAACCTTATATGATTAATATTCTTCATACAATTAAATAAAGTGGTTTCCTGTAATTTTAGTCAACCTATCTACCTATACGTACACACGCTACTATTGCTATACCTATATAGGTATAATATACTTTATGATTTTTTATTAAATTATGGTTTTGTTTAGGCAACGTTTTGCATTACTTGTATAGGCACCAAAAAAATCTAAGATAGTTATGGTATTATGTTTAATTATATATACCAGATTGAAAGATAATAACTCATTAACGTGTGAATTGTTTTTTGACTACCTACCTAATTTGTCTAAAACATTGTACTATTATATATACTATTATACACCTATCTTCATTATTATTGATTCTATTTTATCCAAATTTCCAATAGAACACACACTTATAGTTATACTAAGTTTTTAAATCCAATTCAAGACTGATCCACATTATTTTTAATAGCCCAATTAGATTTTTTATAGATATTTATTGGTAAATGCAACCCAATGATTACACACTACAGTACAGTAGAACCTCACTAATACAACACTTGTTAGTCCAACAACCTCAGTAATTCCATACTTTATTTTCCCTTAAATATTTTTTGAAAGATAAAAACTAAAAATTGACGAGTTCATTCAATAAAACATACATAACCTATTACATCACTATACATTTTTATAGGTACATTTATAAATCATAAATTAAATATTCATACATTACCTGGTCTCATATAAGTGACTAATGAGGTACTACTTTATTTAATTTAAGATAACATAAAAGTATTGAGACCATAGTAGGTAGTAGGTTATGAAACAGGTAAATACAGTCACAATTTTTAAGATTCTTAAAAAATAATAAGTGTGTAAGGATTAAGGATCTAAATAATACATTGTTTCTGTACTAATAGCACTTGATTTAAGTTATTTACTTATATATATATATATATATATATATATATATATATTGATTGCATATAGTTACAAATAAAGAAGAATCATTTTAACTAATATAATTTTCTTTTAGAAAATATATTTAATTTATCATACACCTATACCTTTAATATATATATTTAATATGGAATCCTGGAAAAAAAGAACATCCAAAAAAGAACAATTTTTAAAAATTTTAAATTAAAAATATAATATTAATTGATTATGGAAGTAAAAAAATACATACATTTATGATTTTCAGTAGTAAAGTTTCACCATCATACATTAAAATATTATATAAATATTAAATGAAATATACATTTTTCTTAAGAGGATTGGATACCAACTGTTTTTAAGGAGTTTAATGCAGGAAATTTCTATTTGCATTTTATCCTTGAAATATGTGTTTACTAAGTGGTGATCACTTTACACACTAATTACAAATAATGTATGTATTTTTTTAATTTTCATAATCAATTACTATTAGTTTTTTCCTACTACCTTTAATATGTACCCACGTACATATTTTAAATGCATCTATAATATATGTTTAATATGTGCCTATAGTATATATTTAATATGTATCTGCATAGGAACATTTTACAAACTACATATGAAACACAATAAGGTAAATCTAACTTATAAAATAATGTAACTCATAGTAATAATTAAAAAGATGTCATGAAATTAAATTTTTCAATAATAAGCATATGCTATTAAAATTAACCTTCTATATCATAGTCATGTCAAAGTTACAGAACAATTTTTATTTTAAATTTTGTACCACCATGTTAATTTTAAATTGTGAACCTATGCATATAATATTTATAATTTTTGAGGAAATAAAAGACATTGAATATAGTTATAAAATATGAAATCATGCACCTACCCAGGTACATTATAGGTTCAATATTATAATATACATACATTTAGGCATGGAATTAATTTTATGTAAAATTACTACAATTAATGTTTAACAGCAATGGTCTTACACCTGTTAATACATTTTCTAATATTTAATTTATTTTAACACCAAGTGTTTTGTTGTTAATTTTATCAAATCATATTATGTATTGCTGTCAAAAAGTAATTTATGCTTAGTCAATTCAAATAAATTATCTTTATTTAATTACTTAAGTACCTAATCAATGGCAATACTTTTTTTACAGTTAAGATAAATATTAAATTATATGTACCTATTAGAATCTACGGACAAATTATTGAACTGAACTTAATAATTTGTATTGGAAATAAGTACTTACTTTGTGTATTTGTTTGACTATTTAATTATACTTTGGGTCTGTATACACTATACATTTTTAAATGATAGTTTTATTTTTGGTTGAACTAATATTCAATACATTTGTCCTATTGACCCCACAATGCCGCCAATTGCCTTCTGCAGGTATTTATTCTTTTTTTTTACGACATTCTTTATGGCATAGTTATGCTTCAAATAGTACTTATACTAATAAATAATTATATTTCTCTAAGCTGAATACCACAGAAGTCCTAGAAATTTAGCAAAACTTATCTTAAGAAATACAATTTTTTTGTAATATTTACATTTTCAGAGTTATTAAATATCATATTCATCTGTCGTATTAATGACAATAATATTATTAAAGACATCTTATATTTCACAGCAATGAAAATATTTATGAGATGAATCTGATATTAATGTACATCAATATCAGTTATATTAGCATTCTTAAATTACATACTATTATGTAATACATAATTTTAGGTACATATGTGATTATAATTGTTTTCTTAATAAAAATAATAATAATAATGTTTATTGCAACAACAGAATGTATACATTATTTACAAAAAATATGAGTTGAATATTGCAGCACCCCTATAAGCGGAGCTTGTGCTGGGGGCACGGTTCTTATTATTTAAAATGAATACATAATGGATAAATGTTTAATAATAAATAATTTAAATACAAAATAAACAAAATTAAAATAACAGTTAATACAGCATAAATTAACTAACAATAAGTTAGAAACAAAAATAGATGTATTATTATAAATTTTAACTATTACAAACTAGATAGTAGATAGGTCTAAATGTTTAACATAATTTTTAAATAACACATTTTCAAAGTTATTTATATTAATATTTAATGAACGACATAATTTCAAACCTATGTACAATATACTATGTTGACCAAATACTTTATTCAGGTTTGGTAGAAGTATGTTAATATTTTTTTTATATCTCGTATTGTGCTCGTGATCTAGCAATGTAATTAAATTTTTATGTTTATATAAATCAACCAAAACCAATGATTTGTAAATGCATATTGAATGCTTTACATTAATTTCTTTATAAATCAATGATGTACTAGTTGTCATGGAAAGATTTAGTAAAAATTTGATAATTCCATTAATAGTAACTATAAGTTTAGATAAAACATTATTTGCGGCTCCTCCCCAAATAGAAATACCATATGAATAAATTGATTGAACTAATGCAAGAAAAATCATTCTTTTATAATAATTATTAAGTAAGTATCTAGCTTCTTTAAAGAAGCAGAAGAATTTACGTAAAGTATTATTAATATAATTTATATGACTTTCCCATTTAAATCTATAGTCAGCAATTATCCCAAGATATTTTATTTCATTTAATTTTTCAAGTATAATACATTTAGAAGTACAAGTTGCACTTAGATGATAATTACATTTTAACAAATGAACAATAAGGTTATTTCTTAGCAAGCAATTTGAATAATTCGATGCTTGCAGTTCAAAACAAATATATTTTGATTTTATCAGATTCAATTT